TACAGAGCACTAAACTGGATGAGCAGGACCACACCCTAAGCCAGCACCAAACGTCTCGGCTAGCTTTGTAAAAGCTGTGCCTGAGGCTGGCAGAGCCTATTTAAGAGCCTTTTGATTGCCAACATGTGTCAGTCGTTAGTCTAACTAGCCCAAACACAGAGCCCCAAACTCAATGCCTGTTTGCAATTTCCACATTGCAAAAAAAAACAATTAAATAAAAATAAATAAATAAATTTTATACACATATATATATATACACACACACACAAACACACATAAATCCAGCCAATTTTTTAAATAACTGCATCAAATAAGACAAACTTCATACATTCTGAAGCTCTGAACATAAATGTATTTTCTCTGAGATATAGATTTCATGATTTCATTGATTGTTATCATGTTTGTGCACATTGAAATTAATTCCGGTTTTCTTATGTGCTTCCTCTTCAGGTTTCTTCATTTGCTGAAAACATCAGACACATTGACACACTTCAACTTCTAACATTACTTACTGGACCATAACCTTCAGACTTAGCCCATCCTCATATTTTCTGCAGTGCTCCGTTTCTGAAATTCTACATTGTTATTGGGAAATCACAAATTACCATAAAATGTTTTGTAAGAAAACAGAACTCTAATCTTTACATCAAAAAATCCATAAATGTTTCATATTCAGATAAACAGTATTGTGTGTTCCACACGTTAAGCCACTTCTCACATTAAAAACTGGCACAGCTTCAAGTAGGTGTTACTATGCAACCCCAACAATATGTTGCACTTCATTCACGCTGATGCCGGTGGTGCTGAAATGATAAATTGCAACTTTGAGCAACTGCCACTCTCTGCGACAGTGATTTCACATGGTAATAATTAGACACTGTTCAAATTAAAATTAGAGGTCATGTTACCTGCAGCTGGCTTCTGCATCCATGTTCCTTTACACCTACTTGAAGAGTCTATTCTTGCAGATGTATGAACCGTTGATAACACTGGTATACAGTGATTCTGAGCAGTTTTATATTAAGTTTATGGTGCTGATTAAGAATATGACTTCTGGTTTTGCCAGATTGGCTCTAGTTTCTGAGATATTTAATAGTTAATTAATTAATCTGCTAGGTATCAGCCCAGTCGCTAATTAAATCCAGATCCCGTTGTAGCCTCTCTGCTGCTAGATTAGTATCTGCTACACCACCCACCTTGGTGTCGTCTGCAAATTTAACCAGTTTACTGTATGTATTGGTGTCAATATCATTAATGTAAATTAGGAACAATAGTGNCCTTGGTGTCGTCTGCAAATTTAACCAGTTTACTGTATGTATTGGTGTCAATATCATTAATGTAAATTAGGAACAATAGTGGTCCTAAAATTGAACCCTGTGGTACCCCACTATGAACGCAGGCCCACTGTGACATTATGCCTCTAATAACTACTTGCTGCTTCCTGTCAGGTAACCAGTTTTCGATCCAAGCTGCTACAGTTCCTAAAATCCCTGCAGCAAGATACTTAAACTCCTCCACTTGGGGGAGGACCCCGACCCAGAGAGAACATTCTACTCTTTTCCGGCCTAGGACCATGGTCTCGGATTTGGAGGTGCTGATTCTCATCCCAGCCCCTTCACACTCGGCTGCAAACTGTCCAAGTGAGAGCTGAAGGTCACGGTCTGATGAGACCAACAGAACCACATCATCTGCAAAAAGCAGAGACCCAATCCTGAGGTCACCCAACCGGACACCCTCAACGCCCTGGCTGCGCCTAGAAATTCTGTCCATTAAAATTATGAACAGAATAGGTGACAAAGGGCAGCCCTGATGGAGTCCAACCCTCACTGGAAACGAGTCCGACCTATTGCCGCCCATGCAAACCAGGCTCTGGCACCGGTCATACAGGAACCGAACAGCCCTTAAAAGGAAGCCCGGCACCCCATACTCCCATAGCACCCCCCACAGGACTCCCCGAGGGACACGGTCAAATGCCTTCTCCAAGTTGACAAAACACATGTAGACTGGTTGGGCAAACTCCCATGAACCCTCCAAAACCCTGCGGAGAGTATAGAGCTGGTCCACTGCTCCTCCTGAATCTGAGGTTCGACAATCCGGCGGACCCTCCTCTCCAGAACCCCCGAATAGACCTTACCAGGGAGGCTGAGGAGTGTGATCCCCCTATAGCTAGAGTACACCCTCCGGTCCCCCTTCTTAAAGAGGGGGGCCACCACCCCGGTCTGCCAGTCCAGAGGCACTGCCCCGATGTCCACACGATGCTGCAGATGCGTGTCAACCAGGACAGCCCCACAGCATCCAGACCCTTAAGGAACTCCGGGCGGATCTCATTGACCCCCAGGGCCCGGCCACTGAAGAGCTTTTTAACCTCCTCAGTGACCTCCGCCCCAGAGATAGGGGAGTCCACACCCAAGTCCCCATACTCTGCTTCCATATTGGAAGGCGTGTTGGCGGGATTGAGGAGGTCTTCGAAGTACTCCCCCCACCGACCCAAAACGTCTCGAGTTGAGGTCAGCAGCGCCCCATCCCCACCATAAACAATGTTGATGTTACACCGCTTTCCTGCCCGGATGCGCCGGGTGGTGGACCAGAATCGCCTCGAAGCCGTCTGGAAATCGTTTTCCATGTCCTCGCCAAACTCCTCCCACACCCAAGTTTTTGCCTCAGCGACCACCGAAGCTGCATCCCGCTTGGCCTGCTGGTAGCTGTCAGCTGCCGCTGGAGTCCCACAGGCTAAAAGGGCCTGATAGGGCTCTTTCTTCAGCTTGACGGCATCCCTCACCACTGGTGTCCACCAGCGGGTTCGGCGATTGCCGCCGCGACAAGCACCGACCACCATACGGCCACAGCTCCGGTCAGCCGCCTCCACAATGGAGCCGCGGAACATGGCCCATTCGGACTCGATGTCCCCCGCCTCCCCCAGGACATGGAAGAAGTTCTGCCGGAGGTAGGAGTTGAAACTCCTCCTGACAGGGGATTCCACCAGACGTTCCCAGCAGACCCTCACTATATGCTTGGCCCTGCCAGGCCTGGCTGGCTTCCTCCCCCATCAGTGGAGCCAACCCACCACCAGGTAGTGATCAGTTGACAGCTCCGCCGCTCTCTTCACCCGAGTGTCCAAGACATGAGGCCGCAAGTCCAATGACACAACTACAAAGTCGATCATCGAACTGCAGCCTAGGGTATCCTGGTGCCAAGTGCACATATGGACACCCTTATGCCTGAACATGGTGTTCATTATGGACAATCCATGACGAGCACAGAAGTCCAACAACAAAGTTCCTCCCAATCACGCCACTCCAGACCCTGAGTGTTAAAAAGGCGGTCTGTACCTTTAAATTTGTCGGAGCTGAGACTTTGCTTACCGCTCAGCGGAGCGTGTGCGTCCCACATCACAGGAGGAAGAGGGGCGTTTTTGGGAAACTGCACGGGAGTTCTTTGCATGACTTGTTTAGTTTTGTAGCCAGTTTAAGCCCGTGATAAGTGAAGTTTAGTAAAGTTAGCATTTTCAGTTTATAACTTGCCATTTATTAGCGTGGGATGTGTGTGTCCATGAAAACCGTAAGTTTTTTCTTTCCTTGTGAATAATGCTAAGTTTGTATGTTAGTTTGTACGGTAGAGACACTAATTGTAAGACTGCATTTACTAGTTTATAATTAATGTGCATTCTTGGTTTGATTCCTTTATGTTGGATATATGTATATATCATTTAGGTTTAAATTCGAAGACGAGCCAGATTACTTCGCAGTGTAATTTGTAATTTGTATTTATAATGTTAAGTCTGGCATTGCGTTATTTATGTTTACAGACCACACCCTAATTCCACGTGATAAAGTATCAACAGTTGCAGTTGTGTCAGAGTTCTGACCGGACTCCCCACGGCGATTCGAACGTACCTACTCAGCGCATAAGCACTTCATCACACTGAGATACTTAAACTCCTCTGCCTGGGGCAGCAACTCATCCCCCACCAGGAGCAGGTAATATGCACTTTTCCAGTCAAGAACCATGGTATTGTAGGTGCTGATCCACATCCCGGCTGCCTCACACTCAGGTGCAAACCTCCCCAGTGCTGCAAGTCAACAGGACCACATCATCCACAAAAAGCAAAGACGAGATCCTGAGGCCCCCAAGCCAGACCCCCTCTGCCCTTTGACTACGCCTAGAAATTCTGACCATAAAAGTTATGAAAAGAATCAGTGACAAAGGGCAGCCCTGATGGAGTCCAACACCCACCGGGAATGAGTCTGACTTACTGCTGGCAATATGAACCAAGCTTTCACTCATTTGTACAAGGATCTGATGGCTTGCAACAACAGACCCCATACCCCTGAAGCACCCTCCACAGGACCTCCTAAGGGATACAATTGTATGCCTTTTCCAAGTCCGCAAAACACATGTAGACCGGTTGGGCAAACTCCCATGAACCCTCCAGTATCCACTGTTCCGCGGTCAGGATGGAATCCGCATTGTTCTTCCTGGATCTGAGGTTTGATCAACGGATAGACCCTCCTCTCCAGTACCCCGGCATAGACCTACCCAGGGAGACTGAGGAGTGCAATCCCCCTGAAGTTGGAAGACATCCTCCGGTCCCCTTTCTTAAAGATTGGGACCACCACTCCAGGCTGCCAATCCAAAGGCACTATCCCCAATGTCCATGCAATGTTTCAATATGTCAGCTGAGACAGCCAAACAACACTGAAAGCTGTCAAGAACTCAGGGAGAATGTCATCCACCTCCGGAGTCCTACCACCAAAGAGTTTTTTGACTACTTCAGTGACCTCAGCCTTAGAGATCGGCAAGTCCCCGTCTGAGTCTTCCAGCTGTATTTCTTCCAAGGAAGGTGTTTCAGTGGGATTCAAGAGATCCAGCTGTAAATAACATGAGTAGAGCCCTGCTGCCACACCCCCCCCACCGCCCAAGTTACCTGACGGTTTGCCAGAGCCTTTGCGAGGATGACCAAAACTGACCCCAAGTTTTTGCTTCAGCAACTGCCAAAGCCGCTTTGCTTTTGTCCTGCCGGTACCTGTCAGCTGATCCGGAGTCCCGCAAGGTAACCAAGCTCAGAAGGCCTCCTTCCTCAGCCTGACAGCTCCCTTTACTGCTGGTGTCCACCACTGGGTTCAGGAATTGCTGCCGAGACAGGTACCAACAACCTTACGGCCACAGCTCCACAATACTGGCTCGACAATGGAGTCCTGGAACATGGCTCATTCAGGCTAAATGTCCCCTGACTCCCTCGGGAGAGAGTTAAAGATCCCCCAGACAGGGGCCTTTGCCAGATGCTCCCAGCATACTCTCACTGTGCATTTGGGTCTACCAGGTCTATTAGGCATCTTCCCCTGCCATCGGATCCAACTCATCACCAGGTGGTGACCAGTTGACAGTTCAGCTCCTCTCTTCACCTGAGTGTCCAAAACATGCGAACTCAGATCCAATGATACAATTACAAAATCGAACACTGAACTGCAGCCTAGTGTGAAGTGCACTTATGAATACCCTTATATTCAACAGTGTTCATTATAGACAAACTGTGGTTAGCACAGAAGTCAAATAACTGAGCACCTTTTGGATTCTGATCGGGCAGGCAAATCCTCCCAATCACACCCTTCCAGGTTTCACTGTTATTACCCACAGTAGCGTTAAAGTCTCCAAGCAGAACAATGGAGTCTCCAGAAGGGGCACCTTCCAGCACCCCCTTCAAAGTCTCCAAGAAGGCCAGATACTCTAGACTGGTTTTCGGCACATACGTGCAGACAACAGTCAGAGACCTTCTCCCAACTTGAAGTCGAAGGAAGGCAACCCTCTCATTCACTGAGTCTCATACGGCTCTCCCCATGGGCAACTCCAGGGTGGAACTGTGTCCGGCCCCTCTCCAGGAGTTTGGTTTCAGAGCCCGAGCCATGCGTTGAGGTGAGCCCGACTATGTGTAGTTGGTATCCCTCTAGCTCCCGCACCACCAGAGAGGTTATGTTCCATGTGCCGAGAGCTAGTTTTGGCTGCCGATGATCAGTCTGTCAAGGCCCCTGCCTTCGACTGTCACCCAATCTACACCTACACTTCACCCGACTCCCATGGCTCCCCCTATAGGTGGTTGGCCCACAGGGGGCGAACCCATGTTACCCCATCGGTCTTTGCCCGGCTGGGTCCCATGGGTGGAGGCATGTCCACCAGGCGCTTACCTTCAAGCTCCGGCCCCAGGCCTGGCTCCAGGGCAAGGCCCCGGTCTCTCCAATCTGGGCGGGGTAATGTACTCCTTGGTTTTATTCTTCAATTAGTGGAATACGTTACACCCTTTTTTATTCTGTGAAATGAAAAGATTGATCTACTGGAGAGACTTAATAATAAAATATAAACATGTTGAGTGTCATATGAATAAAATGTGCCAATTTCATCAAAATCTCCTCCCCCCATTAATTAACAAATAACTAACAAATAGCTTAACAAAACAACTTGTTCATTCTCCATCCTTTGGGGTGGTGGTGTACTTTCGAATTATGTGTTAAGTTTAAACTACAAGCTTTTTGTGTCATATGACGTAATATTGCAAAAACACTGATGATTCTGAGTGAAGTGTACAACCAGCTTCAAGAAGGCCGGCATGAAAACAAACACGTGGATCAAGCCAGAAGGTTTTTCTGATCCAAACTCACTGGAGAAGACCATAGTACTTATATGATATTTTGTAGGCAAACTAGAAAGAGGATGATCGGCATGAAAATGGATGCGCTTAGCACAAAAATGAACAAACCACTGGGAAGCTTGAGGAACAGTACATTCAAGACAGAACACGTTTGGTAGGAACACCGTTTATATGACTGCTGGGAGTGTATATCAACTGGGCAGCAGCTAATATTAAAAATAACTACCTAACTAGACATTAAAATCCAAATTAAAATAAGTCTAATGAAGTTATCTTATGACATAAAAATGTACGCAAATAATTTATTTCTAGCATAAATTCGATCCAAAATGGGACTTACGACTGCAGTTGCATAGTGAGATCCTGGGTGGAACCTTAAAATTACACCCCTGAGGAAGAAATTACCTCATCTGCTTGAAATGCCAAGCTGTAGAAACAAGAACTTTGTAAGCTGACCTGGATAAGAGTAAAAAGCTTTCATTTCTGTAATCACTCACTGACGTACAGTTCAGTTAGTGGCTAAGGGACACTTTGGCTGATGCTGTTCATTAATTCCACCACTAACTGGCTTTGTGAATTCTAATCACATAGAAGTATTTTAGAAATATCCTATTGTTTTTATTCCCTATCGCGTCAAGATGAGCAAATCAACAACCTATAAATACTGCATCTTCAATTAGGTCTGTCATTATCTCACCAGGATCCTCTGCATTATAAATATGATCAGCTGTCACTAAGAACAATAAGCACTGTTAACTGATCAGAGTTTACATGGATCTGCAAAACTCTGCTTAGGCTACTGTGTGTCAAAGAAAATGCATCCATCTTTCATAACCATTTGTGCAGTAGAGGGCTGCAGTGGGCCTGGACCCTACCCCAGGAAGCATGGAGTAGGGGACACCCTGGACAGTCCATAACATACATATACTATTGGCAATTTTGAGACACCAGTTCATAGAACTGCATGTTTTTGGACTGCGGGAGGAAACTGGAGTAGCTGCAGGAAGCCCAGACAAACACTGGAAGAACATGCAAATTCTGCACACTTGGGGGCAGGGGCAGGATTCTATTCCACAGCTAAGGAGGTACAGCGCCACACTCAACAACAAAAGAGAGAAAATAAAAGAAAAATACTATAGTGTTAGAGTTTAAAAACATCAGCTTTGGGAGACTGTTGGCATTATTGCATAAACAAGGTGAAAAATGTATGAATCCAGAAATTTGGAATATGTATCAGTCTTTCCCTCCATATGTTCTGCCTGGTTTGTAACCACATGGGGCACGTTCAGAAACAAGCCTTTTTTGGCTCCTTTTCTTCGAACATCGATTTCAATCAGTCTCAGCAGCAGATGAACTTCCCTTCACAAGTGACAGCACTGAGGACAGCCTGGCCCCTGTGTTACCAGGGGCTCAGGTGTAAGAGGTGACGTTTGCGATCCAGACACCGGCTATGATAGTGCTGAGGGCTGTTGCAGGACAGGTGGCCCCTGCTGAATGTTCAGTGTACTGCACACCAGACCTTCAGGTGAGCTGTTCTCACAGTTACAGCTGGAGTATCCCTGCCACCCAGTAAAAAAAAAACACCACATAAAAAACTTTGCCTCATGCTATTTCGACCAACCTGCTTGCATACATGAGGAGCACATCTGTGCCAGCCTCCAGGCAGTATGTCCACAGACACAGAAGAAAACGCTGGAAACATCTCAACTGGCATCCTGGTCCAGAATGGACCTCTCAGAATCCTGAGTACTCCAGAGAATGTGCCGTCACACCTGCTTCGCAAATCCAATCATGATCACAGACATACTCCAAGAGCATGTGAATACAGTACCACATGTAGGTAGAGGAGCTGATTTACCTGTTTCTGCAAGGAAGATGTCAATCACTTCTACTTACAGGTCCCCCTCCCTGGAATATATCCACCAGGAATGGATGCTCTGACTCACGTCACCTGGAAGTCACACAATAACCCTTGACTAGCCTAATAAATGCACTCAAAGATACAACAGAAACCCAACTTAGCTCACTCTTCCAAATCCAGTCCTTTGACTGTTGATTCTCTAAATAACTTACTGCAGCCTTGAAAACTCATCCTGAACTTTCCTCTACTTATCAACATTTTCTCTATGTCCAGCTACCTAAATCCAGCAACACATCAATAAGCAAGTTTCTCCTGTCAGTAATGAATGCTGTTGTTTTACTTAAGCCCATGGCAAACATTTATAGTACTATATAGTACTTCTCTTTAGGCAAGATATCGGTGTGTCATTAAGCATTATCTGTAAATCCTGATAACCGGGTTGTGGAGAAACTATGACAGCACGCTGTCTCTGAATTACAGCGACTGCAGCAAATTATTAATTATTCTTTTATTAGCTGTGTCACTACTGTTACTTTGTTTGACTGATAACCTCATAAAACATGACATACAGTGCAATTAGTAAATAATATCAGCAGGCAAATGTGAAAAGCAGAGCGTCACCCACGGCCGACGTTGATGGACGACTCCGAAATGTAGCCTTCTGCTACGTTTAAAGTGACGATCCATTTTCAAAGCGACGGTTATGGTTTGAAGGCAAGAACAAAGATGACATGACAGGCCGCGTAATTAGCGATATGTACAATTTTTCAAACAAAAGTCTTTGTTTATTTCAGTCTTGAAGCTCTGCCGCTGAAGTTCAGACTAATTCCATCTGCTTTGAAAGGGTCTTAAGAGAACAAGCCACTGTGATCTGAGCAAGGCGTTTGCGAATTACATGTTAGGGCCAATTTGATGTCTGCGCGGAGGTGAACGGTTAGCCCGACAAGCCACTAGTTGAAAAACAAAAGGCGTGTTGAAGGCAAATGGATTTCTGTAGCATTAGTATTCCCCATGGCATAAATTCCGTTCCATCATCCAGAGACATTTTATCTAATTTACAGATACGTGTGACGAATAATCACGACCTGCGATGGCTATCTCCCAAAATGAGCAGAGCAGACAGGATTGCACACTGAGCAGCACATGAATGGCGCAGGAAGCCACATTCTCAGGTAATGTGATGTAGGACCATTCCCCTCAGGAGTGGGGTCACTGTCCCATTCCTGCACTCGATCTCCGTACAGCTGTAATCCTAATCAAGCATGGCGACAGGTTGGAGTGAAGATGCAGGTACCCCTGTTACGTCCGCGTTTGTATGTGCCTGTATTCGTTTTTCCCTTTCAGATCCCGTTCCGCAAGTCTGCCGATCCGGTTCCACATTTTCCACTTCTCACCAAGAAAGCAGTGCCAAAATTGGATGGACTGATTGTCGTCGCCTCGTTCCCGTTTCCCGCCTCTCCAGTCATGGACTATAAAAGACGCCTCACCCCCCCATCTGATAGCTTTTTGCTCGTTCTCCGTCTTTGCTTTTGCGTTTCTTACTGTATTTCTAACCTACTGTTACGACCTGTTTTTGGCTCTCTACTCTCGCACTTTTGGATTTCGATTCGGTTTTGGTTACTCAGCTTGTGTATTTGTTTACCCGTGTTTTGACTACTGTCTGCATGGTTATCAACTATTTTTAGGATTTCGGATTGGATTTGGATGCCCTGTGTAAATGCTGTACATATATTTGTAAGGGTTGTAGGGAGTGACTGCTGTTTGTTTTCTGCGTGTACGATGTTTTGTCCCTATTTTGTCGTTAGAAAGGGCTAGGTTAGTAATTGTCTTTTGTTTTATTTTTCTTTCCGGTTAGGGTAAGTGGTCGATACGCATGTAGGTAGTTCACTGGGTTTTGTTTATTGTTTTGGCCTTTGTCACTCCTGAAGTTCACGTCCCCTACGCCCAGATTTTCAAAATACATCCTATCTTAATTGTAGCCCGTGGTGTCGCTCCAATTCTTTATCCTCTGCACCCTTATCCTCCCTCCCCCCTCCCCCCCGTTCACGCTTACGTCCCGACCCTTCGTCAGAAGCAACACTCTCACAACAAGGTAGGAAAAAAAGGTCCATAATGCCCCTCCTGTTGATAATTTACTCCTGACGATAAACCAGTCATTTTTGGCATTATGAAAGGCGGGCGGCTGTGGAGAGCTTGCGAGGTGATAATCTGCATACTGGATGCTGCACTGAATCCCTGAGACGTCTGTGTTCTAACTGCCAGTTTTTGCCAAATGAAAGTCACTGTTTTTTTCTACACTGCTCATTGTCTCCAGTATCGATTCATCTGCCATTTTTAAGATAAGATCTCAGTGTTTAAAGCAGTTGGGTTATAGAAATGCGATGGGTGCATTATTAAAGTCAGCGAGTGGAAAAATCCTTAATGAGGATTTTTATACTAACGGCAGCATGATCATAAGGGCAACTACTGCACTCCATCATGTTGTTAAGAGTTAATTCTGCTACAGCCTCCTCTGGAAACAGTTCCAGTGCTTTACCGAAGTCCTGCATCTATGTTTATTTACAGTGCTTTATAAAATGTAAAAAAGCGGGCAGTTAGACAAGGTCCATCAGGCGCAGAAGAATTTAGGTTTGTTTAATGATGGTTAAATAAATTAGCAGTTCAGAAACACTTCCCCGAAAAACTGAAGCCTACTGAAGCAGTCTCAACAGTATGTTACAAAAATTTTCAGGCACTCTCCAGCCCCCCATAAAATCACCAGAATAAGGGGTGGAAGAAAGGATGGATAGAAGGATAGACAGATCCTTCATGGGTGAGGATTTGGCTTTGTAAATATATGCTTGCATATTCTTCCCGCCTTTCTGTGCCTTTCCTTCTAGGTGCTCCAGTTTCCTACAAAGAGTCCAAAGACATATAGTTTATGTTAATTTATGTCTCTCAACTGCATGTGTGTACATCCCATCCAGGGCATCCTCTGTTCTCTGAGACTCTGCACTGGATGAACTGGCAGTGGATACCTTAACAGCTGAAGCTTGACACCTAATAGATGCATTGGACACAACACAGCGATATACCAGTTAAGGGAAAACAATCACAGAAAACAGGAGTATTCTACTGAGCCGTGCATTGTGACAAATTGAAGATGTACTCGACTCATTTTGAAAAAAATAACGTATTGCGCTTAAATTCAATGGGCAATAGATAATAACAGATGGACAAAAAAAAACATTCATAAATAAAGTTATAAGCCAGTAATTGTAGCATTTTCCCATGATGAGGACAGAAATTGAAGCACATCCAGGAAAAAGCATGGCTTTATGCCTGCGTAATGACAAGAGGCAAATTCTTGAAGAGAAGCCAAATGCAGAATATTAGCTCTTCAAAAAATGCTACCCGGACCAATGGGTCAACCAACTACTACAAACAAGCAACAGGCCTCCTGGTCTCATACTCAAAATTGCATATCTGAGGACCCAGGAATAGCCATCCATCAGAACGGCAGCAATTTCTATGTTAATAAAAACCGTGGGTTACTTGTTCCAGACACATATACAACATGTTACAGCGGTACATAAAATTACACGACTGCAAAAATAAATCACACTTAATTTCCAGACCTTTAGGTACTGTAATACTGGTTACCAAGCAACTGGATGTGATATATTCTTACTTTATAACCCTTAATCCCCTTTCTGCCTGATAAAAAAATACAATATACAAAAAAGTAAGTAGTCATCTAGTGATGCTGTTAGAGCTGTCTGGATTACTCGGTTATTGAAAAGCATTGATTAAAAATTTCCTAATTAAATACTCGGCAATATGGTGGAAGGAAAACATAAAGGACAAGGTTCCAAATAAAGAGTAAAAGCATAATTTGTGTCACGTTAAAAGTGAATGAAAATACAACCACCCATCAGTACTACACAGACCAACTGATATGCAAATAATAGCTTAAAAGAAGCCACTCATGTTTGACGGACTCACCCAGTAATGCGAGGTAATGCATGTCATTTAACCTCTCGCAGTTGCTAACCTGTCTTTGTCATCACTTTGCCTTAAATTGTTTTGCTTAAATTTACTTTCTACGATTCCCGTATATCAAAATAATCGCTGAAAACAAAGGTTAGCCCCGTCGCTTAGCCGCATACATTTTACATAAAACGGTACATAACCGGCTAATATTGTCTTGTGAATGTATTGTGCGTTAGAGCTGAACGCTACTGGAAAAAGTTCACTTTGCGATATTTGAAGCGTTTGCGATATTTAGGAGTTGAAAATGAGCTATATAGCCAAACAGAATTTATTATCTACCAGCAGAGTCTGTAAAAAAAAAAAGTTGGTGCTGCCTTGAGTTGTGCCAGCAGACACAGAGCGGTGCCAGCAAATCACTAGCTTCTGCTCAATATTGTCTCCATGAAATACAAAATATATGTACAGCGGAAGACAAATGTCTTTTCACGACCAGTTCTTGTTCAGTTTACTCCTCTTCACTTTTTTTAATCTCTCACAAACGCAGCACACGATGTATCAGTGAGTCCAACAGCAGCAACATCAATGATTACGATCGTCTCAGAGAGCACATGCAGAGTATCATGCAAAAGCAGCAGTGCTAAACTTCAGTTTTTTTTTTTTAAAAAAAACAACAACAACATATACTAGATAGTGTTGAAAAGGAACCATCATTAAAATTGAAGAGCTTGCCAAGTTTGGTTTCCCATGATTGAGTAAAAATATTTTAGCACAACTTATCGATGATTTGAACCTAGCAGACTATCGCGGTCCTTGTGATGTGACAACTCTGTTCTAACACGAGCAATATACTAGTATCCAAGTCCTATGCATTAGCATTTGGCATTAGCCTCAGGTAGCTAGCCACAAGCAAATGG